GAGGACGTTCAAAACTTGATGCACTGTCGGACGACAACATCGGGTCTGCAGTGAACTGCCAACTCCCACCTCGACGCCACCACCAGATTCCACTATGGCAGCATGGGCGGGCAGCCGTCGCGAGCAAAGAAAGAAACGTGATTTATGGAAAGCTGTCGTGGCCTCCTGACGGCCCAGCACGGAAGGCTTGAGCCTTCACTGCAGCAGAGGACCAAGACTAATCAGGTTACCTCGCAACCTCGTTGCTTCCCCCCGTTTAGTCTTGAGCCAAAATGGCTTGAGCCAAAATGGCTACGGGGGAGGAGGAGGAGGAGGAGGAGGAGGAGGAGGAGGACGGGTCGCCAAAGCCCGTCGGAGAAACCCTCCAGACTGTTCCAGCACGGCCCTGAGACGAGGCCAGGACGAGGACAGATGTTCGTGCACCTCTGAGATCTGGCGACTCTGGAGGATGTCTCGGGCGCCGCCGCCTTCTCAGAGCGTTCTGGAGCGCTCTGAGAGCGTTCCCTCAAGAAGGGAAACGCCACAAACATAAACTTGTGGCGCTCCGTGCGGACTTCTTGGATCTGCGCTGGACCACCCTTCCTGGCGCGCGGAGCGCGCCAGGGGCGGCGCCGGAGGCGTCGCCGGGAGAGTCCCAGCGCGGATTCCAAGAAATCCGCGCTGAGCGCCAAAAGTCTTATGTTTACGGCGTGTTTTTCTTCGACTAAGATCGTTCCAGGACGCCCTGGAACGGAGTCATCCTCGTCCCAGCCCCGTCCGAGGCCCCTCGAGACCCCGAGGCTTCTCCCGGTCCTCAGCGTCCTGGGGCTTCCCTGGGCGTGCTCTGACAAGGACCTAGGGGCGGATCCGGCGATCGGAGCGAGGGAGCCCCGAGGCGGCGCCAAAAGGACCCCAGAGGGCGTCAGGATATCAATGCGCTCGATCCTCGGCCCTCGATGGTCGAGCAAAAAAACAAAAGACTAAAATCATCCTTCTCTTCTTCACAGCGCGGAACCCTGGAAGTCTTTACATGTCTTTACCCATCGCCCACTCAGGAGGCACGGTCACAAATATCGCGCAGGTCGAGACGGCCTGGATTGCTGTGCATCCGCGTCACAGGCTTAAAAAGTTCGACTTGAAAGGAACTAAAATCATCCTTCTCTTCTTCACAGCGCGGAACCCTGGAAGTCTTTACATGTCTTTACCCATCGCCTCCTCAGGAGGCACGGTCACACATCTCGCGCAGGCTGAGACGGCCTGGATTGCTGTGCTTCCGCCTCACAGGCTTAAAAAATTCGACTTGAAAGACACTAAAATCATCCTTCTCTTTTTCACAGCGCGGACCCCTGGAAGTCTTTACATGCCTCTACCCATCGCCTCCTCAGGAGGCACGGTCACACATCTCGCGCAGGCTAATGCGGCATGGATTGCTGTGCGCATGCCTCCAAAGCTAAAAAATCGGCTTGATCCAGAGGAGATCAAACCCAAAGAACTGCGCACCATCAGACCGGAGAAAAAAACAATAGGGCTATAGGGCTATAAGGCTATAAGACTATAGGGCTACAGGGCTAGAGTCCTGTAGGGCTATTGATTAAGGTTATAGGGCTATAATGCTATAAAGCTATAGGGCTAAGGCTGTACGGTTATAGGGTTATAGGGCTATAGGGCTACAGGGCACCCAGGCACCCCGGGCACCCCGGGCACCCAGGGCACCCGGGCACCCGGGCACCTGGGCACCCGGGCACCTGGGCACCCGGGCGTGACGCCGAAATCGGCGCCATACCTCACCTAACCGTATGAAACCGCTAGGTCCCCTAACCATATGAACCCGCGCGGACCCCTGGAAGTCTTTACATGCCTTTGCCCATCGCCTCCTCGAGAGCCACGGTCACACATCTCTCGCAGGCTGAGGCGGCATGGATTGCTGTGCTTCTGCCTCCAAAGCTAAAAAATCCGGCTTGATCCAGAGATCAAACCCAAAGACACTGCGCACCAAAAGAGGCCCAAACGGAGTCACCCGCGCAACACTCGCGGGTCCAGCGATGGACATAGCCAGAATCACGGGGCCAATGAACGCGGCCGTAATGTAGTTGGAGGTGCACATGTCATTCGTCAGCGCCATTTCGAAAAGCCCAACACCTATCGCCCCGAAAACCAGTGTAACTGATCCTGTCGCGAAGGCTACGCGATCTGGCGGCAAGCGCGCCACGACGGCTGCCCAGCATAAACCTTCTAAGAGCACAAGCCATATCTGCCAAGAGGTCGCTCCACCACACCATCCACCTTCGAGTTGTTGAGCGGTAAGTACTAACCATATCAATCCGATGTTGGCGGTGCCAAAGCCCCAAACACTCACATCAGCAAGAGGTCCGACCAATTCTTCAACTTCGCGCAGATGCTTCGTCACAATACCCATGCGCATGATGTCTCTCACGTTTTTGTCAACGCAATGCTCCTTAAACCTCAATCTAATCTCTCGCCGAATCGCCTCCCCGTCTGCCGGGACAGTGCATTTGGCGTCCCGGACGTGGCCCGTAAACCCATTCTGAAACTGCTGTGTTGCAACAGCTGCTGCTGATGTTCTCAGGCGGTCGGACTCGAGTGCGATCGGCGCGAGGAACATCACCGCAAAAGCAAGCCAAGCTGTTACATAGTGGGGGCGTTTTGTGACTTGATGCGCACCGTAAGCACCAGACGTGATACCAATCAACCGGATGACAATACGAAGAGAAACAGATCCAGGGCGCTTCCGCAAGAATGCGTAGAAGAACGCCAGAATCAACGACAATACCTGGGGCGCTAGATATATCAAATCTTGAGGAAACATGGATTGAGTCGCAAGGATAAAACAAAATGCACCTGCTCCTGACAAAGAGAGGAAACCTATTCCGACTACATCGGCCCAGAAGTCCCGCACCGGGGGCCGGGCAGTGTGGATATCTTTCCGCCACGAATATGCAAGGTAGGCCTCGTATGCACACCAGGTCCGTGAGTATATACTGCATGTCCGATTCGGGACCGCCAACATGCGCGTTGCGGACGCCAAAGCTTTCGCAAAAGGAGAATCCGTGGGACTAGATACAAGAGCAGATATGTTGAGATTCTGTGGATTGGAAAGTATACACAAATACGCATGCTTCGCTCCAACTGGCCAAGAATTCATGATATTGTCACAGAATTCGAAGACGCCCTCCTCCCAACCATGCGTGATAAACAAATCGCAAGGCAGACCCTCAGGATGTAGCATCAAAGCCCAACTCACCTTCCCAGCTGAAAGTGTAACCGGCCTGATGAACTGGCCGTTCACAGTGTGCATGCTAGGGCCAATCCTATCGTCGCTTGCGTCGAAAGGGTCTGACTCCGTTGGTATGATTCGGTGTTCTTGAACTGCATGCCAAACAAGTCGCCGAAGCTGTTGCAGGTCCGCCTTAGTCACACACCACCGTTCCTCAGGCACTTCGCGATGTAAGCGTTCACCGTCGCGAACCGTGGGCGCTGATTCAACAGCGCGGTCTCCTGGACTCAGAGATGCGGCGCCTGATCTCCGCCCGCACTTGGGTCGCACTGATGCCACGAAGACTCCACACAAGCCAAGAGCCAAGCTCAAAAGACCAATGATTGAAAGGCGATAGAAATTCTCCTGGGAAAATGCTCCACATTCGAAGCCGTCCAATCCAGGGCAGCAGGTGTACTCATATGTATAACCGAAATGATCGGCCGTTCGTCTGGTGTCCTGGCAACCGTAGCCGTCCTCACAAAAGCAAGGCTCAAAAGGACCCTGCGTTATGCAATTTTCTTGGCGGTCTCGGCAAAGATCAGACCGGTTGCTCTGGCATATTATAAGCATGCGCTTGACCAGCAAGCTGGAAATACCAGTACAGCCAGAACGACTGCTTTCCAACATATAGCTTGAGCCATACGAGCTATCCCGCATTGAACGATCCTCACCTGAGAGCGCGAGGCGGGATCCCCAAGGGAGCAGCGGCACCCTTGAGGCCTGGCGGCCGCGGCATGCAGCCGTCGCTCGCGGAAGGCGCGAGGCGGGATACCCAGGGAGCACCGGCACATTTGGGCCAGGCGGCTGGGGCATGCAGGGTGTGCGAGGCGTGTCGGACGCATGGGCCCGCGTCCCTCCTCCCCCCCTGCCCCCCCGCCCCACCTCCCCCGCGCCGCATCCCTTCCCTCCGTTCGTCTGTCGTCCGTCGCTCGACTGTCGTGTCGTGCCGCTGGGATTCGCCCGCGCTGGAAACAAAGTGCAAGACGTGTCCAGGGTTCTGCTCCACAGATCAGCACTGTGCTGTCATACTAAGTAGTCGGATGGGTCCACCGACCTCTCTGCTGCCTCGCTGATGCCGGCTTCGGGGGTGCGTCGAGGTTTCGCCGCGTCGCCGCCCGTTGCCGCCTCGTTGCCGCCCGCGTGGATGGATCCGTCGAGGTTTCGCCGCACCGCCGCCCGCTGTCGCCTTGTTGCCGCCGACTTCGGGGGTCCGTCCAGGTTTCGCCGCGTCGCAGCCCGATACCGCCTCGTTGCCGCCCACTCGTGGGGCGCGTCGAGGCTTCGAAGCGTCGCCGCCCGTTGCCGCCTCGCTGACGCACGCTCCCGGGGTCCGTCGAGGTTTCGCCGCGTCGCCGCCCGCTGCCGCCTCGTTGAAACCGTTTGCCGCCCACTTGGGGGGCGCGTCGAGGTTTCGCCGCGTCGCCGCCCGCTGCCGCCTCGCTGCAGCCCACTTGGGCGGGCCGCCGAGGATTCGCCGCGCCGCTGCCTCGTTGCTGCCCGCCGCACGTGGGGGGTGCCTCGAGGTTGCACCACATAGCTTGCACCACACAGCTTGCACCACGTAGATTGCACCACACAGCAGCAGTGCAACTAATTACGATTCGGGCTCCGCGCTGGCTGCCATGGTGAATGTGACCACTCCAGCCTGACAGGCAGGAAAAACGTACATCCTCGATCCTCGTGCCCAAAGAGATGCGAGACCACTCACATCAGCCACGATAAACTATCCTCGCTGCCCGCTCGCCTCCATCGACTTGACGATCATCTCAGTGTCTCCGTCCGGCTCGTCCACGGCGGTGCAGAAGAACTGGGCGGGCGCCATATCGTCCTCCTCATTTTCCTCCTCCTCCTCCTCCTCCTCCTCCTCCTCCTCCCTCGTCCTACCCCTCCTTCTCCTCCTCCTCCTCCTCCTCCTCCTCCTCCTGGACCCTACTTTGTTGAAGATTGCCGATTGCCGAGAGTTGAAGAGGCCGCATTCCGCTGCCATTTAGGCCCTTTCAGTTTCGCGCTGAACAGGGGCCTTCCGCCTGTGCATGCCGTGGGGGCTGGACGCCTTGGCGCGCGACCTGACGCAGGCCGCCACCACAGCGCTGGTGGTGCGGTCGGGCGTCCCGTCGTGCCCCGACTGTCTGCTCGCCCACGCTGACGTGCCCGCCGCTGACCTGCTCCTGCCCTGGCGGCGAGGGGTATCGCAACCCCACTGCCGCAGAGGGGTACTCGACGGCAGCGCTGGCGGTGGTCGCCGGCACCTGTCTCCTCCTGGGGGCTGCCGCAGGCGCCGCGGGCGCCATCTGGGCGGTGCACCCCCGGGCGGCACCGAGCGCCAGCGCGCCGGGCCCGGTGGCGGCGCCTGGGACGCCCGCCGCGGCGCTGGCTGCGCCAGCTGAGGCAGAGGCGCTCGAGGACGTGCAGGCGGTGGCCGCGGCGCAGGCGAGGGCCTTCCGTCGGCCGCGGGCGGCTGGGAAGTGATGGCGGCGCCGCTTGCTGCTGAGGGCTTCTGCCTCACGAGGTACAACGTCGGCGGGCTCGAGGTGCACCATGAGCGGGTGGTCCTCTACGGGACTGGCTACGTGCTGACGCCAGATATGGACGACTACGGAGAGGGGCTGACGCCGGACGTGGACATCCACAACGTGCGGCCGATCGCAGGGCAGGGAGGCCGCGCCGGCGGGATCGCGGAGGCTCGGACGTATCGCTTCCGCCGCCTGCCGACGCCGGCGGAGCTGTGGGCCGCGCTGCGCAGGGGAGCGGCCGCGGGGTTCGGCGTGCTCCCGGACTCGCCCTTCATGCTCGAGCTCTCGGCCGCGAACTGCGAGGGGCATCCTGCCGGGCCGCTGGAGGTCGCGGACCCAGTCGCGGCCCTGGCCCCTGCGGTGGCCATCGCGGTCCCAGCGGCGGCGCCAGCTGTGGCGGTGCCTGCCGCGGCGGGCGGACCGCCAGTGGCCGCCGCGGCCGCCGGCCCGGCCGCGCCGGGGGGAGCTGTGGCGGCTGCCCCTGGGCGTGCGCCAGCGGTGCCTGACGGCGCCCCCGTCCCGCCGCTGCCCTGTGGGGCTGCGCCGCCAGGCTGGGTGTGGGTGGCCGCCGAGGACGTCGACGGGCTCGTGGCGTTCGGCGAGGAGCTCCAGGTGGGTGTCGCCGGCGGAGTGCAGCTGGCCTGGCGTTCCGGGCGCCGGGGCGGCTTCGTGCTCCCCGCTGGTGGCGCCGCTTTCGGGATCCTGCTGCAGCAGAGCGAGGTGGCGTACTTCAGGCAGGAGTTCCGGGGTAACGACGCGCGGACGCTGGAGGTGCCCGCCCTGTCTGCGGCGTCAAGCGGGCCGGCGCGTGACTGGCGCGAGGTGGTCCAGCTGTGCCACCAGGAGCAGGTGGCCGATTTCGCGGTGCCGGGGCCGCGGACTGCCGCTTGGTGTGCGAAGTACCAGGTGAAGGAAGGTGGCCCGTCCCTCCATCATGATATGTGGAAAAGCCGCAGGAAGCTCACCTCGTCGGACTTCGGCGTCGACATGCACGACACGCTCTCGCGCATGATTGAGGCCATGGGAGTGTCGGACCACCTTGACGTCTTCAACTTGGCGAGCGCGGAGATCGGATATCGCAAGCTCCAGTTGATCGAGCATTACTGGGACGACCGCAGTGCAGAGCAGCAGCAGAACAACAGCAAGATCCCCTTGGAGGAGAGCCAGGCCTTCATGGGCGGGGCTCGTGCGCCTTCGATGGTGTGCCCAGAGCTGCTCGACACCGTGTCGAAGGATTTGGAACGCATCTCAAGCATCAAGAAGAACGCCAGGAAGCTGAGGGAGGAGCAGGCCGCCGCCGCTAAGGCCAAGGCCGCTCCTCCCAGGACAGGATGACGCTGGGATCGCCGCCGGGGTTGCCTCGACCCGGTGGCGAACCTTCGGAGAGGCTGGTAGACAGCGACGGACACGTGCAGCGGTCGCTTCTGCCTTTGCCAGTCCCTGACTGGTGCAGTGCCCCTGGCGGCGCCTCGCGGGCGCGCTCTGCTCGCCGTCGTCGAGGGCATCGAGCGCATCAGGGCGAGCTTCTCACCGAGCTCGTCGTCGCGCTCAACCAGCTGGATGCCGGCTCAGACCTCGTTCGCAGGCAGTGTGAGGGCGAGCCCAGCAGGATGCAGCAGCTATGCCTGGAGCGCCTCGCCGAAAGCTGCGCGGCGATGGGCGCTCCGCCCTCTGATTTGTCGTCCGAGGTGGCCCTCCGGGAGCTCCAGGTCGGCACCGCCTACGGGGACTGCGACCCCGTCTCGGCGGCCCCCTTCGTGCACGACCTCGTCTCCTTGCCGGCTGTCGGTGGCGCCCCGGTGCCGCTGGACCAGCTGCTCGGGAAAGACGGTCCAGATATCGTGCGGAGGTTCGTTTCTTCCAAGGTTTTGTCAAATCATGACGCCGCTGAGGCAAAGAGGGACTCGGGTTTTGCGCGGCCGTACCTGGATCCAGTTCTCCGTCGGCGTGAAGACTACCTCGCCTTCATCAGCCGACTGGGCAAAGCTAACATGCTGGATTTCAGGCTCGACGGCGACGACTTCGAAGAGGTCGGGCTTTTCACAGTTTGGAAGAAAGACGGTCGCCAACGTCTGGTGATCGATTGCAGGGGATCAAATTTGCATTTTGCAGAACCTAACAAGACCAGCCTCGCTAGCGGGGCCAGCTTCAGTCGCATGGAGCTGCGAGAGGGTGAGCAGTTGTGGACGGGGGGCGTGGACATAGCCGACGCGTTCTACAATATGGGTTTGCCTTGTGAACTTCGACGTTACTTTGCTCTTCCTCGATTGCGTGCCGCTGACCTTGGCCTCAAGGTCGTCGAGGGCCAGTCCGTGTCGAGCCGAGCCTGGGTCCGCCCGTGCTTGGCGGTTTTGCCAATGGGCTGGTCGCACGCTCTCGACTTCTGCCAGCGGGTGCACCGCTCGATCGTGCTGGAATAAGGGGGCTCCCTGGGGCAGCTGAGATCGTTGACGGACGTCCGCCTGCGGATGTGAGGGAGGGAGCTTTCACGGCCTACTTCGACAACTTCGTCGCCTTCGGCACGGGGCCCGAGAGGCCTGGTGAGATGTTGGACGCAGCTCGAAAAGCCCTTGAAGGTGTGGGCCTGCCGGTGCACCCGACCGAGGCGCCCGTCGCCGTTTCGGAGCAGCTGGGCTGGGTCTTCGACGGCGAGCGCGGGGCCTTGCGCCCCAAGAGTCGGCGTGTCTGGAGATTGAGGCTGGGGATTCTGGAACTCTTGAAGACGGGGTACGCCACGGGTCGCCAGATCGGAAAGGTTGCTGGACATTATGCTTTCATTGCTCTCGCTCAGAGGCCTATGCTTTCCGTCTTCAGCGCCGTATACAGTTTCTCCCGGAAGTACTTCTCCCGAGTCATGAAAATCTCGCCATCGGTTCGACGTGAACTTCAGTGGGCTGCCGCACTCCTCCCTCTGGTTTGGTCTGACCTTCGCGCGCCCTGGGGCTCCATGGTGTATGCGAGCGACGCGAGCGAGGAGGGGGGGGGGGTCTGCCAGAAGGAGGCCGACGTCGAGCTCGTCAGGGCTGCGGGTCGTGATGAGGAGAGGTGGAGGTTTCGTCATCCTGGAGTTTCTCGACCTCGCGATTGTCTCGGTGGGCCCGGGGATCCCGCGGAGGAGCTGGAGATCGTCGACGACTTCGAGGGGGTGAGCACGGAGGGCGAGAGGTGGAAGGTGCAGGAGGTTTCGAGCGAGCTGTACGGGGGCAGGTGGCAGGTGGTGTCTAGTGGAGGATGGGCCCGGGCTGAGAACATCATCGTCCTGGAGGGTCGGGCCATCGTTCACTCGCTCCGGCACGCTCTTCGAGATTCGAAATCTTTTGGTCGTCGTCTCCTTTTCCTGTCCGACAACATGGGGCTCGTATGTGCATTGCAGAAGGGGCGCTCGTCGGCTGGGGGGGTCCTCCGCATCACCCGGCAATGGGCTGCCTGGTGCCTGGCGGGAGGCGTGCAGGCCTCCGTCCGCTGGATCCCGTCGGAGCGCAACGTTGCGGATGCTCCGTCGCGCCGCCACATCCCCCTCGGCGTGTGGCTGGACGGGGGCGCGGGCGGTGCTGAGCCGGACCTCGACCGCTGGGACGTGCGGGACGGGAGCGTCCGTAGCCAGCGCGCCGACGTCGCGGCAGCGGGGGCGGAGCTCGACGAGCTGGCCGTCCGTGGCGCCGCCAGCGGCCCCCTCCGGGGCGCCCGGCGCCCCCCGGCGGCTGCGGGGCAAGCGGGCGGCCGACGGGAGCGATCCTGCTCAGTCGGCGGTGCGCCGGCCTCGCCACGTCGGGGCGGCTGCTGCCGCTGCGCGGCGGCAGGGGCGCGCGGCGCCGGCGCGGAGAGCTGTTCGCGCGGCTCGCCGGCGGGCGCGGGCTGCGCCTCTGGTCACAGGGGGGACTTTTATGCAGAGGGCCTCGGTGACGCCGAAGACGGTCGCGCAGTACGACACGCTGTGGCAGGACATCCTTCGGGCGTGGGCAGCGACTGCGTGCGTGACCGGCGCCGCCCGAGTGCCCGGCGACGACGACATGGACGGCCTGCTAGCCAGCTGGATGGACCGCGAGTACCTGGCCGGCGAGCTGTCGCAGCGCGGGACCAAGGCGATGGCGGCGGTGAAGTTCTTCCGGCCGCAGTTCAGCCGCACGGGCAGCCTCGCGCTGCCGCAGGCAGCACAGGCCTTGAAGGGGTGGAAGCGCCTCGCCCCTGGGCGGGCGCGGCTCCCGCTCCCCTGGGAGGTGGTGTCGCTGATCGCGCTCGAGCTGGTCGCCGCGGGCTTCTGGGCGATGGCTGCGTGGGTCGTCATCACGTTCCA